GAGTATAGTTGCGTAGTTATAATATAATTTACTATTTATAATTAAGTAGAAATGGAAAAAATTACCTCACAATCTAGTGATTCGTTTTATCACACACTAATAGCACCAATTTTCAAACTTAAAAAAAAATAGTATATTGTTTTGCAAATTACTAGAAAAAAAAAAAAGGTAATCATTTTGTGGGGGCCTCTTATTAATAGAATCTTGTGGGGGCCCCGTGGCCTGGGCCCCGTGGGCCCCCCCCTAAATCCGGCCCTGGTTTCTTATTTGTCAGTTGATGATATTGTATGAAAACTCATATTTATGTTTTACACATCAATAATCATCATCAAGTGAATAATTGTTTTAATTAAATTTAGTTCACTCCAATCAGGGACGTCATGGGGTGGGGGGGGGTGTGCAGGGTGTACATTTTCACCAACATTTTTTATAAACGTCATCTTTGGCCTGCCAACAATAAATATAAGCGCCGATATTCTTAAGTGTTATATATTAATATATTATATATATATTTTTTTTATGCCATTTTGAACAAGCTTGTTTTATTGGTTACCTAGGTAACCAATAAAACAAATTACAGGTTTAGCGTTTAGCTATTATTTATTTTGAGTGTGCAGGGATAAAAATGTATAGGTAGGTTCGATTAAGTACTATTAAGGTGCTTTATACCCATAAATTTACTTACCAAATTCAACTGGCATTCACAATATAATATAAACTCATTAAAAGTACCTACACACATATGTAGTTTTTCAAAAATAGTAATAATATTGTGATGTTTTCATACTAATATAGGTGACATATTAAATAAAGTTTTTGTCACCATTGAAAYCCCCCCCCTCTTTATYCACCMAAAAAAAATTCCATGTGGCCTGGTAATGATTTGAATGGCCTGCAAAAATGTTGGCACCAACAATAAAAAAGTTGAAACGACGCCCCTGACTCCAATTAAGGATTAAAATAATTGAATTAATTTTTAATTTTTAATTTTAAAATACCTAAATAACATTTCAATAAAATTAATTGCAGAGTTTAATTATTGAAAAGTATAATATGAGTTTACATAATAATATGTTAGTTTTATATGTCTATGGACATCATAGGACATAGACCTTAGTTTTAATAGTTCGACGACGAACTTCGGCCGTCGGGCAACCATCATATTATAATTGTATTAGTTAATCGTGAATAAGATTGTCGATCACCCAAACCCTAAACTTCTTTATAGATCTCGGATCACTCGATCACCATTCTCGTATTCACAAGATACAAAATACGAGATAATAACTACTGATAACGTGAGGCTTTTGAGATATCAGCTGTGAGATTGTGTAACAATAGTTTTGTACTGTCATGGTAGTTCCCACTTTTTGCCATGTAAAACGTTGGGTGGTGTATTTTGGTCTATCGAATATCGATCAGTGTGTTTACTGTGTTTCTTTGTGASTTGATCGTCGTGCGCGCGCTCTTTAGCTGTTAGTTTGTTATCCCTATATGTTTTTGTCATATTGTTGTGGTTACGATTAACGACAATATTCGCATTTCGCAATACAAGCASGGTAATCGTGAATTTATATAACGTATTATTGTCATTTGCTCGTCGTACGTCTGTCGTTAATTCGTATCTTTTGACGTTACCACCAGAATTATGTCCATCTGCACGTTTTTGGGCAAGTACATTTTGTACTTGTTCAACCTGTTGTGTCTCGTAAGTATAACGTTAAAATCTTTATGATTTTGGGAATGTTGGTTGGGGAACCTGCGAATCGTGCGATTATTATAGCTTTTTTCTCATATGAGTCATGTTATATGATGCGAGTTGAGTTGTATTAAGGGAATGTTACACTAGCAGTTGTGGTCTATTATATTTATTTGTTTATTATTATATTTTAATTTTACAGTGAGTTATAAGAACTTTAAAATTGTAAATTTTACTTCTTAAAATACTTGGTTGAACTCTGACTTGTGGGTCTGGGAAAAAAAAATTGTAATGAATGACCAAATACTTAACTCGCTTTAAAATTAAAATATAATAAAAGTTAATGATATTGCCTGGATAATAATCCCTTAAAATTTTATATGAGATCAATTCGCTGTGATTTTTAAGCTATCAGAACTGAATATGATCTGYTATGCGTAAAATTTGCCGGTTCCACACTTKTAAAACGGAAACACAAATGCCAATGAAATGTCCCCTAAATGGCCTAATGTTTTATCAAATATATTCTGTACCAATTTCAGATCTCCAGTGTTGGAATTTTGTCGATCGCGTTCATCATCAATCACAAACTGTACAAATGGTCAAATTTCATCAGCACAGAACTCATCACCACACCTCAGATACTTTTGGTCATTGGTATCGGTCTTTTAATTATCTCCATCATTGGTTTGTGTGGTGTGCTTAGAGACATTGGATGGCTTTTGACATTGGTATGTATATTTTTCAAATTATAATGTTTAATATATTATTTTCTACTTAAATATAACTTGCATTTCAATTCTTATAGTTTTCCATATTGCTTACAATCGTATTGATCGGAGAACTTATTTTATCTGGTTTYGTGTACTACATGGGCGGTGAAATCAGAGAGTATGCGTTGAATCAGATGAACCATACAATTTCTGGATACAATAAAACTGGGTATGAAGCCTCTACACAAACTTGGAATTTGATACAGTCTGATGTAAATAATGTTTATTTTTATTACTTATTAAACTCTGCAATCTTACCCAGCCTAATCAAAATTTAACYGTTTAATTCTTTTGTTTTCAGATTGAATGTTGTGGAATTTATGGACCTAAGGATTGGGAACCAGTTACACATAGCAATAAACTGCCTACATCTTGTTGCTATGCCATACCATTAGACGGATTTTGCACAGATATTGAATCATATAAAGATGGCTGCTTCGAAAAGTTTGAAAGTATTCTTCAGGAAAATAGTGAAATAATAATATGGACAGCAATTGGATTTGCTTTAATTCAGGTATGTTGAATTAGAATTAGAATCATAATTTGATATATTAAAATTAATTCACATGCAATTTGAATGTTTTTTTTTTTTAGCTTTTTGCTGTATTTTTAGCATGTTGTCGCAGGTGTTCTTTACACAAAGAATATGAAACAGTTTAAACATAATTATCATTCAAGTTTTTAGTTGTTAATAGAGCTGCAAAAAGAATATGTATCTACTATTAATACCAATTTATATMATTTCTCCTAATATTTTTATTTCTTTCATTTATAAACCATCATGTGTTTACATTATCTGATATAATACTAGATTGTATTTAATTATTATTAATGTTTGGCCATGTTTAAAATGATCTAATGATCTATGATTTTCAGTTTCCTTCTGTATTAATTTATTGTTTGATTTTAATACAACTTATTATTCRTACTTTCTTATTTAAATCTTAAATCATCATCCAAAATTAATTATTCTTTACACATTATGCTAATATTTGAAAACCCAATTATTCAAATAATATCAAAACATGACGTATACTATATAAAATTGTAACTAATATTTTGAATTTAATATCTCAACAAATTTTATTATTACATACGAATATACAGTATTAAGTGATCATGGAAAGATTTATTGTTTCGTATTATATTATATTATTTAGTATAATTTTTACACTTTTGTTACAATTTTTTTAAAAATATTTTAATAAATAGTTCACTTAGCCTCATTACTTATACTTCTATTTTGTATTATGTTAAGTTATTATCCGTTTTGATTGATATCTTGTTCTCAAACAGTAATGTATTTTACTTTAAGGATTTAATATACTTAGTTTTTTTTTTTAAATATTATTTTAAAAGTTTTAAATATATTGATTAAAAATATTATTGTTTGTCTTTTTACTTTCTTTTATTTGTTCCTTTTAAATTTTAATAATTTGTATAGATTATTATAACTAATATAATAAGTTGATAGTTTAATAATATTGATAACACCTATAAAAAGATTCATTAAACTCTTCTAAATTTGTTGTCATGAAAAATCAATTCTATAACTGTTATATTACCRATTAATTTGTGAGTTGATCTTTTATTGTGGAATGATTGTAGAAAGAAAATGTAATAAATTTAGTATGAAATTCTCTGAATAACATATTTTTGAAAGTACAGCATGCATGTCTTGCATGGAGGAATACAATTTTCTCTATTAGTTTAATTAGGGTTTTATTTGTGAAATTGATTTATGCTTAAAATCAAGTACTATTTCAGGCATAGATCTACCAAACTTATTGACAAGTGAAAACTAAGAAATATAAAATATTATATTAGTTAAATTATGTTGAAAATATGATTAATATACTATTAATAATATTAAAGTAATAATCACATATTATTTGTTTATTTCTATTTACAATTGGTTCAAGTAAGAATAAAAGGTACCTACTTATTATTTTATTAAGTAGGTACAAGGTGATATGCACCGTTGGTGGATTGCCATCTCTGATTCATTTTATGCCGACTCCTGAATATTATAGCTTGTATAAGTTATCTGAAATTTTTTATTTTTATATTATAATCTATTTATTATTTAAAAATTTAGTTTCTTTTATTCAAAAACTACTGGACTGTTTTTAATTACAGTTTTATTAATAATAAAACAATTACTTGAGACTCGRAGGATGGTTCACAGTTTATTATTTTAGTTTTTGCAAACGATAATAAAATATTGTTTTTGTTTATTTAAATGGGTGTGATGCCCATAGGTTATAGATTATATGAACATAAGATGTATCACATTGTGACCATACATTTTAAATTTATAACTCAGATCTTTAATATATAATATATTTATTTATTTATTTTTTTTTTATTATAAAGAACAAGGCCTCGACTATATATATATATATATATTTTATAATCCATGATCTACCTATATTTTGAGGTCTGTGAATTACAAAATTTTTTAGTATTCAGTATATTTTCTTTTAATGAATTTGATTTAGTGATATGAAAAAAAATGTGCAAGTGAAAACATATAATAAAAAAACCATTCTAGTGGACGTGGGAAGATTGCCCCTGTTGACCACCCGCTAAACAAATATATCACAAATACCGCGAAGTGATATTTCAATTTTTATTTATTCCAATGCCTTTTTTTTCATAAAAATATCTAATTATTACTCGTTTAAAAAAATTATTATTCAGAACCTAATTTTTCAAGAAAACATTGTTTGTTTCAAAACAGTTTGGAATAAATGTTTTGTGATTTTGTGCAACTATAGAATTCAGATAATGCTCTATTTTTTCTTGTGACTTATGAGTTATGATAGGAGTATAGGACAGTCAATAATCAATATAAAGTAATAACTAATAACTAACAAGTAGGATTTAGGTATAAACTATAAACCGTTATTTTTAGTCTGTTAGAAATTAGAATCATTGACATAAAACATAGTTTATAGTTTTATAATTTTATATCACCGAGTGGAATATAATATAATGTATCTATCATGTGCTAACATAAATGTTCAATGTTATTGTTATCTCCATGCAAATCATTACTCATCTTAATGGTTGCATAAAAAATTACTTTCAGAAAATACATTTAAGCAGTATACAATAATATGCTGTACAAAATATAACAGGCGATTAATGTAGTACACAATTAGTTGATGTTTTCACAGCTGGTCTGTGCTATAAATTCATGAAACAATCTAATAGATAACATTATATAATATTGTCGATGAGCCACCGACTACATAATTGGATGACACGTCGAGCTAAATGCTTAAATGGGTAGAATGGCGTAGATGCTGAGCACTAAGGTAGTGAACCTATAGAGGTAATCGTGTACACGAACACGACGTACTCGCGTTGTTARTTTGTTGTTGTTTTCGACGTAGCGCAACGAACTACGAAGGAGGCACGAGTCGCACGACACGCGCATGCTCGATTTTAGTGATAACGACAACGTTATTAAAAAAAAATAAATACGCACGCACGCACGCACACGGACCGGCAAATACGTCGGACAACCGTAATATTCGCCGGTACGCAGACACCATTTTTGGAACCACTATCGTTTTCGAAAACTCGATGCATGATTGTTATTTCGGTGTTTTCCTTTGTTCGCCCGTCGTACCGCTGCCGTACATTTTCAACGCCGTGCACTCGCCGACTTACAGCCACAGCCTTTTTTTGAGCGTTTAACGCGCCCCGCTGCCTGGGAAAAACGATCGCATTTCGTGCTACAGTGAAGGCACGTCGTCGTTTCGTAGGTGTGTTTGCGACGATCGCTGTCGTTCTACGGCGTGCAATTTCCGTTTGCGAAGACGCCGCCGCCACCGCATGCAAAGGCTATTTTCCATCCATCGTGCGCACGTTACCCACGTCCGTCCACCGTCGTCTCTTAGCCGCCAACGCTGACGCCGCTCGCTGGCAGTTCCGTCAGACCGCCGCCATTGTTAGTTGTACTCGATGTCTTAAGACTGGACGAATTCACGTCATTCCTTCCCCGTGTTTAGAGGTTGGCCGCCGAAAGTATTCGAGGTATGCGACCGCTGCAACTATTGACCGACGTCGAAATTACCCATTACATGTGCGATTTTTATTTTTTTTTCTGTGTGTCCGCAGTTTGCCAGTGACCACTAGCCCTTGCTGATAATGTCTACTACCCCAACCCCCCGTAGTCCCAACAATTCTGGCCGTCGAGGTGTGACTGCGACGTTACCGGCAGTTACCACCGTACAAGCGACTCCGCCATCATCGCCGTCCATTGGTGGCGAAACCACCAAGGAAGTGAAACCAAATCCAAAGATGTCTAAATCTCTTAGCACCTCGACTAAGAGGTGAGTTTTTAATCTCTTCAAATCGTTACAATAATACGTATCTGTCTTGGTGGAGTAACTTGTGTSCCACTTAAGCTGTACTTATTAAGAAGATATTCATACGAATTGTCACGTTTTATCAATTTTATTGTAAATTGTAATAACATAGGTACCTAGTAATATTTATGTATCAAAACATGAATATAATTATAATAAATATTTCTATGTTATTGATTGTCCCTCAGGAAACTTTGGCTGTACTGCTATTTTGTTTTGTTAAAAAAAAAAATGGATAGTTTTCCGTTTTTCCGACTACTGCTTGATCCCACAAYTACCTATTACTTATCTTAATTCTGTTATTTCGACTACCACCCGTACTATAGTTTTGTCTGTTTGTACACAATATTTATGAATTGTCATTTAAATAAGTATAATCTTTTATATATATTAGTATAACATTTATTATTAATTATCTCAAATCATTATAGTAGTAGAGAATTATACTATAAAATCTCGTATAAAACATAAAAAAATATCACAGCTRCCTACTTAAAATATATAAAACTTAAAATTSTATTTTTGGAAATATTTTAAATATATTTTGTCTTCAGATAAACTTTGCCAATCAGGACTTTATATGAGAGAAAATGRTCCTCTATACTTTTAATTTCTCCACCTAGTTGTAGCCGAGATAATGAAATTGAGACTTTCAGTAGTTGGGATAAYGGAACAGTACCAAAAAATGTTGCTTATGTGTCTAMCAGTCTAGCTTTCTGTCTTAAAATTATTAATTAAAATATGTTAATATAGAATGAAAAATATTATTTAAGTATGTTGTACCTATATAACTATTTTCCACCTACAGTTTTAATGTATTTTCTATTATAAGCCTATAACTGTCATATCAAACTATTTAAAAATATATTATTATTTGTGTTATAGGTATTCATACCTTATWAWTGTTTTAACTATTTTTATTATAATTCAATTATTTTCCAGGATTCAAAAAGAACTAGCTGAAATTACATTGGATCCTCCCCCCAATTGCAGGTAAAGTTATCAAATTACWTTCATTAATAAGTTAATAGATAAAAATAAATTTACTTTTGATTCATATAATTTCACTTATTTTTAATTTATATCATGTATGGCTAACTCAAAATGTTAAAAAGACTAATCTAATGTGAATATATTGGTCAGAGTAAAAAATGTATTTTGGATTCTGAACAGAAAGTCTTCGCATAATTTATCTTTTTTTGTATATCGCCTTTTGGAGCATTAGAGTTTTTGAAATCTTCAATTTTATGTGTGCTTTTCGTTAGTAAATTGCGAGGTAAATTTGATGTTATTGTTACTTTGGTAGGTATAGAGTGAAATCAATGGATAAACCAAGAAATAAATTATGACAAAGTAGGGATTTTAAACTAAAAATCAGTTTTGTCAAATATTTATTTAGCTGACCTTTTTGAGCTATTTATAGATTGGTTTGTATGAACATTGAAAGAAAAATAACAAATCAAACAAAAATGTAATAAAAAAAATTGGAATTCCTGATAATCTGTACTTGTAGCAATTAMAATTTTTTAAAAATAATACAATTTGTCAAAATTGTGAGACTGACACATCACCTCTGCTCAGGACCATGGTTTGAATATCATTATAATTTATCACAACCCTGAATGATTTTTTGTATATATAAATTATTTAATGTATTTTATTAGGTTTTTGATTAGAGTTATACAAAACAGAACTAAATTTTATTTAAAAAAATAAAAAACTAACACTTGTACTGTTATCCATTATGGCTATTAAAGTTAGGTATCCCTGATCTGTATTCATAATCGGTGCTAGTTGGGTATGCGCCAGAGTATGCGCTCTACAGACAAGTTTCTGTTTCGGTATGTGCTCTACATACATCATTTTTATTTTATTAATTTTCCGGATGAGCTCTATACATCACTTTAATTTTTTAATTTTATTATTGGCTTTCATTCATTTTCTRGATGTCTTTTAGCATGGCGAGAAAAAGGTCCGTCCTGTTTTGACAGTAAAGTCGCCAGCAATAGTGGTTAAGATGGGACTGCAAATGATTTAAAAGAACACCCCTCATTTTCTTTAATAATTTAATTTTTGCGTCCAACCATGACCTCTCAATGTTTTGAGTGTGGGTTTCTGTATTGTCATTGACATATGACATTTGGTGATTATTTACCATCTAGTGTACAAAATTGCGGCTTGTGAGACACCTATATGCAGCCCATTCATCAGAATGAATAGTAATGAATAGTAGGTAATAGAATTTAAGGTAAAGACAATCAAAGATAGATAATAAAGTTGAAAAAAAATCCAACATATCATGTATAAAAGCGCAGATAATGCATGACCAACCTCATGTAGAACAGCCTAACCTGTAGAGCGCATACCGAACTAGCACCTCATAATCTACTCTTCAACTTTATGGAAATTAAAATATATATATTTTTTACTTTTAATTTTATTTGTTTGTTCCTTTGTAAGATTTATTTTAAAATATAGGGTTTCATTATTTTTCAGTGCTGGACCAAAAGGAGATAATGTATTTGAATGGGTCAGTACAATTTTAGGTCCTCCAGGTTCTGTGTATGAAGGAGGAGTTTTCTTCTTAGACATTCATTTCACACCTGAGTATCCATTTAAGCCTCCTAAAGTATGTAACTAACAATTTTTATTTTTTTACTTAAAATAATGATTTTTGCTTMCGAGAAACTAATTATGATTGTTATCAATTTTTAGGTGTTATTTAGGACTCGCATATATCATTGCAATATTAACTCTCAGGGAGTAATTTGCTTGGATATACTTAAAGACAATTGGTCTCCTGCATTAACCATCTCTAAGGTGCTGTTATCGATTTGTTCCCTATTGACTGATTGTAATCCAGGTAAAGACTTATAACATATAATGTATATACTAATAATACATTATTATTCATTATATTTTAAAATAAACAATGAATATAAAATAAATAATCTTAGAGACAAATATTAATATTTATAGTATTGTAAAAAGAAATTGGAAAACAATTTAATTGTTTCAATGGTTAAATACCTAATTTTATTAGTTAAGATCAGATTTTTATTCTCTTGTTAATGTTCCTCTTAAAATTTTTAATGTTCAAAAAAATAAAAATTCTCAGTTCTATAATATTAAAATTAATCATAAATAAAAACAWTTTTTCTAAAAATTTATAAAATATTCTTAACTATGTTAAATCAGCTAAATATTCCTTGATTCATGAAATATTCTCAATTATGTAAAAAATACTTTCCTGGGAATTGAACTAATCACCCTCATTTTTTATTCTCTTAAGACAGTAGACACTCCKTAACTATGTATTTTAGCATTTAAATCTCAAGTTTTTAAAATATTTTTCATGGTCAATATATGAACGTCTTACCATTTTAAATAATTATTTAAAAGACAATTTAAGGTTAACAATTATAATAATATATTGACGTTTTAATCTAATTGCTTTAAATAACTTGTGTTATATTTAATTCATAATAATTAAAATAATTCTCTGTTAATTGATTATATTTATAGCGGACCCTCTAGTCGGTAATATTGCTACACAGTATCTACAAAAYCGCGAAGAACATGACAGAATTGCCAGGCTGTGGACAAAACGGTATGCTACATGATTGATCTTCAAACAAACTTAAAAAAATTGATATATAAAAATATACATGCGAAAATCCTAATTCCGTATTTTATTAATGGGTGTTAGCATGATAAAATTTTAATCATTATTATTTTATAGTTGGCATATTTGAAACCTGAATATGAGTCAGTTCCTACATTTTTTCTTTTTTTTTTCTTAAAACAGTAATATTTTAAACACTTACAAGATAAAAAATGTTAAATTAATTTTATATAATATGACTTAACTGCGCAACATATTAAGGCCACAATCCATGATAAAATCTCAATTAATATTTTATTTTTATTTAAGTTTTATAATAGAAAATGTATGCTTTTTTTCATGAATAAATTATCAATTTGTTTGAATATTGTATTAAGATTTATTATTTACAAACCAGTTGGTTACATTTTTAAATATAATTTTTACTTTAATTTATGAATTACAACAATGCTAYAAAGTTGCGTACTATCTATACACAACTAAGTATTGAAAGTCTAGACTGCTAATTATATTTAAATAACAAAATTATGAACATTTTGTAAACGAATTTCATCTTTGTAAATGTATATTTACAAATTATACATATTTTTGTATGTAAAATATTATTTAACTAAATTAAAAATATTGATCAATTTGTTTTGTATAACTTAATTTGTATATCAAATATATTTAATAACATAACATAAAATCTACGGGTATTATAATGAAAATATTTGTTTAAATTATTGATTTCTAATATTATATTGAATATTAGGTAATACAAAGTTGTTTTCCATATTGAATTATCTGTTATATTATAAGGTTTTCATTGAATACCCTGTAGGCAACTTATATTATATTATTAAAATGTTGATATAGTATTATAGCTTTACCCGTGACTAAATAGATAGGTATAATCACATATTAAATGATACGCACATTCCTCTTCAGACTCAGTWTTCAGCTTCTTATTGGCTATTCATATTATCAGTACTAAGATTATATTTTAAAAACCAATTTAATTTAAAATTATAATTTTTAAGTTTATGACTATTACTTAAATATAAGGTATATTGTGTAATATTCACATATTWTAAAATATGTGTACTAAAATTATAACAACCAATGAAATATTGAGAACTACAGTAGGTATGCTTTRCTAGTTTGGACGAGAACATGTACCAATGTGATCATACCTATCTATTAGTCATTACTTGACCTGTGCCTGTCGTACATATTACCAATGTATAATTTTAAAATGTATATTTGTGAATAGCTTAGCAAAAGTTTCAGTTAGACTACTATCTATTTACATATTTTATTTTCATTCTTAATGCAGAATAGTAATAATTCTGATTTACAATGTCGTTGCGTACTAACATTTTGTATCAACATGTTAAACCAAGTTTAATTGTTCATTTCTCATCTCTGTTTTAGAGAAAAAAGTAAAAAATAAAAAAATTGGTGAGAATTTTTCTTTTTATCTTTTTAAAAAAAAAAAAAAATGCTTTGAATATAAATTGAATGTATATTTTTTTAGCCAACTTATTGGATTTCAAAGTCATCTTATTTAAGTTGATGTGTAATTTATCTCATTCTTGTTGGTCTGAATATGAGGATATTTTGAATTTACTATTTACCGTGTAATGTATTACACTAATTTACAAAAATTTTAGCATATCTATATATTTATAAGTTATATATTATATATTAATAATTAAATTAATATTAATATTGTAATATTTAGAGCAAATAATAAATAAAAAATATTGTTGTGAAATATTAAATWAAATATTTTATGTGTATTTGTGTTGTGTACCCTATAGTGCTAACAACATAACAAATAATTGGTAAAAAATATATTTTAAATTTTTTTCATATTTATTATTATACAAAATTAAACTATTTAAGTATATACAATTTGAACAGTAATAAAAACTAACAATAATTGCATTGTCTTATTGTAGGGTTGTTCACTAAGTTACCAATACCCAAATCAGGATAGATTAATTGTTTAAGGTTCATACATATGTTTTACAATTTATGTGTTAGGTATATYATATAATTCAAATATCAATTCTTCTTAAAATTAATGTGTTCTCAGAAATAATGTCACTCCTGCTAAAATCCATTTTTTTTGTTCATTTAATGGCATTGCTATTGGTAGCAATGTTATTAAATTATCTCTGAATTGTGTCTCATATAACGCTATTGGTAAATCAGAATTTTTCATGTGCTTTATGTGTTCCTATAAAACCAAAAAAGTATAATTTTATCAACCWAAAAACAGCTATAGCTTGTTAAATTCAGTTAAACACACATGTTGTAAAAACTAAAATTGACTGCACAAATATTTTTTAAATCTTATTTATATATGTGCTTTACAAACCTGTGGAATCCATGCAAGTTTAATGTCATCAATGATAGCTACTGATGGTGAATCAGCTGTATTTTCAACAAGTGTATTGTGATTGAGCCTAGCACCTTCTATAATCAAATTTGATATTGTTGTGTGGATTTTGGAACCTTTCAATCCATTAGTTGACAGAGAACAATCAAGTATGAGACTATCCATAGGTATTTCATATTGTCTACACAAAAAATTGAAGATTTATTACTGAAGTAAACTACTACAAGAAATATAATAGATTTATTATATATTTATAAATATTCAAACATGTCCTAAATGACTGTCTAATTAACGTAGGAACCTTAATGAACAATTTATTGATAAAGATTTGAAATTAGCATTATTTCTTTGCACCATTACCATTGTTTCAATAATCAAGGATCTTAAAGAAATACTCACACATGTATTTTGAGATTCGCAATGGAAATCAATTAATCAAGTTAATTTCTTTTTTTAATGGTTACTTAGGCAGATGAAGTAAAATCATGCATCAAATCGTCACGTTAATGGCCTCGAAAAAACAAATTATAAAATCTTAAACAAATATGAGAAYATATTTTTAAAATGTTTTTTCTGTATTTTATTTGTTTCCTATAGATTCAAAAACTGCTCAACTGATTTTGACTAAAATTTCAGAGATTGTTCTTAAAGATGTCAGAAAAATGTAGATTAGCTTGAACTATGTTCAAAAATTTACCAATTAAATAGCTATAAATTATAATATCTGAACTGAATACTGAGATATACCGATTCATTTTATTCGAGACTAAGATTCGCCTACAGTTTAAATATATTATTACATTTCTACCATAGAATTTATGTTTCTACGAAACATCTAAAAATATTTCAGGTGATTGAGTCTTTCTTCCCTTAATGGTGGTAGCATCGCATAGAATTTTGTCTATTTGCATCACTGCTAATAACTGACTAGTTTTTAACTACATTATACATAAATTATTGATGTAATGTCCAGTGATATGAATGTTAAAATAATATTCAACAACAATCAAAATAATAAGTATAAAGTTTTATTTGTTACAGTTAATAGCTATATAAGTTTCAACGAAATCAATTTTGTTTTACTTTTTGTTGTTGTACCTAATGCTTAAAGAAATAACCGGTAAAGACTTGAAGAATTTTTGGCAAAATATTTATAAAAGTAAATGAGCATTTTCTAAAACATATTATTTTCAAATTTCAATAAATGTAGTTTTTGAACTATTATTTTTCTTCAATTTTTGTTTAATGTTTATTGCCTCTTGATCAAAATTCAAAAAGCTTGATAACTCCTTACACAAGTTTAAAATGATTACCTAACTATTGTACATATTTTTTTTTAAATAAGAACATTCTGATGTATGGTGTCTTATTATTTATCCTTATTTATACTTCCCTTATCATAAGGCTATAGTCTATCGCCTATGTACAGTTATTTATGTTGTGTCATATACAATGTGTATAGTATATAATATATATACTTACAAACTTAACTTATGATCATCACTTATGGGTTAATATCAATTACTTAATCACTGATCAGTGGCGTAGACATGATTTCTGAAAGGG